GGTATCCATTTCACCACCCGCACATCCTACTGAATTATAAACCTTTTATATTTACTGAAAGACCCATGTATAAATAGCCAATATTTGTCTATAGACAGATTTGTATAATCGAACAATATTTATTCTAATACAATGCAAAAAGACAGATTTCGACATTAAATAAAATCCAGCAAGGGTCGATATGTCGTAAAATTAACCATTCAGCCCACCCAAATTGTATAAACGCTGACTAACTCTCTCTTTTTCACCCCCATCACCCAATCGGCTTCAAGAGAACGATTCGTTTACGTCCGCTAGTAGTCTATGCACCTTTCACACCATCTGCCTCTTAATGCACGCTATCAGGTTGTCCTTTGTTAACGATCCTCCAAATGAATTTGCTTGAAAAGAGCAGGATTTTACACACTCCGAGCAAAACATGCAGATTTAATTAACTTTAAAAAAAAAAAAAAGTCACCGCCGAATACAGCAAATGACGCAAAAATTTCCCCACGAAAATCAGGAAAAACTGACATGGCGTCGGCAGCAGTGCTAATTACTTAAAACTTTTTAAATTGAAAACGCCTTCCAGTAAGCCCGCAGGCTGGATGTGGTTTCAAAATGGAGAATTAACGTGAGAAGGCGATACAATGAAAGAAAAAAGAAAAGTGTTGCATATAAAATGTGTGTTTATATGTATGATTGAAAGATATTTACGGTTTTTTCAGTTAGGCTTGGAATCCTTTAATTTCTTGAAACTTCGAATAGACGCAACGTCTCCTTTGAATTCGGAACTTCACAAATTTAAAGATGGTTAAAGAGTCGAATGTACGTGAAATATGATTAAGAATTTTTTTTTAATCATTTCACCCCAAGTGAGGAAATAAAGTCATCAGGACACTGGGTTTGAGAGAATATGAGGAAAAACGCTATTAAGGAGAGAGGACAATAAAAGAACAGAGATTCAGAAGACAGAAAATAACGATTGGCCTTGCATTCAATTTTTTGAAGTTCAATGCTGACTCGGAAGCAGGAAGCCGGAAGAGAGTTCCACAAGCGACAAGTGCGAGAGAAGAAACTGTTACCAATTTAGTACTGCGCTGAAATTCATAAAGTTTAGGTACAATAGTGGAAAGTTCTTCAGAACAATTACCATGAAAGTATTTATAGAAAAGGCACAGTGAAGCTACGTCACGGTGATTGGAAATGGGCTAAAGCCGGGATGCCAGGTCAGGACCAATAACATTGCAGATTCTTCTTTGGAATTTTATCAAGAATCTTTAAATATATAGAAGGAGCACTAGACCAGATGTGGCAGCAATATTCAAAGCAAGGACGAATGGTAGACTTATAAATATGTAAGGTAGATTCAGCGACATATAAGATCTACATATAAGTGAATCAACTTAATTAGCCGCATTCTTAGCAATTGGTTCAATATCCATTTTCCACTTCATATCAGCTGAAAACGTTAGTCCAAGAAGACGCAACGAGTCACTCTCCTGGAGGTTAGCATCAGCCATGCTACCAGGAAGGTAAAAATGGTTCTCTCAAATGATTAAATGAGAGCAGTTTCATTCTTGTAACAGTAGATCATGGTACGGGGGTAGGGGTCAGGTACTTTCTGGATTGGTACAAGGGATCAATCATTTTTAATTAAAGCAAGGTAACAAAGGCACTAGAACGCAAGAATTTAGTAAATGCTAGAGAATATGAGACATACTAAAATTGAAGAAATAGGACAATAAAAGAATAAGAATTAAAAAACTAAAGATAACAATTATCACTGCATTTAAATTTTTGAGGATCAAGAAGCAAATAGCCGGAAAAGAGTTCCACAAGCGAGAAGTGCGAGAGAAGAAAATGTTAGCATGGAACTTATGATTACATCTAGTCATTTCAACTCTAAAATGTGAAACCTTGTTGCCAAGCTAGTACTTCGCTTAAATTCATAAAGTCTAGGCATCATAGCGGAACATTCTTCAGAACAGTTACCATGAAAGTATTTATAGAAAAGGCAGAGGGAAGCTACGTTACGGCGATTGGAAATGGGCTGAAGCCGGGATGCCAGGTCAGGACCAATAACATTGCAGATTCTTCTTTGGAATTTTATCAAGAATCTCTAAATATATAGAAGGAGCACTAGACCATATGTGGTAGAAATATTCAAAGCATGAAGGAATAGTAGACTTATAAGACTTCCACAGGTGAGAAGTGCTCGAGAAGAGAAACTGTTAGAGTAGAAATGGCAGAAATTGCATCTAGCTAGTTCAAAAACAGTAAAACGTTAAGACCTAGTTGCCAACTCGTAGCACGGGATTTCACACACTCCGAGCAAAACATGCAGATTTAAGTAACTTTAAAAAAAAAAGTCACCGCCGAATACAGCAAATGGCGCAAAAATTCCCCACGAAAATCAGGAATAACTGACATGGCGACGGCAGCAGTGCTAATTACTTTAAAAAAACCCCAAAAAAAACCACACAGATAGATTATGGCGAGAAAAAATGTCTCGCACGACACTGTGAACCAACATTCATCGATGCAGACTTAGTAATGGATTCAATATAATCTCTTCACTTCATGTCAGTGGAAAATCTTAGTCTGAGAAAACGCAGTAAATCACTCTCCCGGATGTTAGCCTCAGCCATGGTGATAGAAGCTAAGAACGAGTCTCTCTAATGGTTTAAAGTGAGCAGTTTCCCTTTGGAGGCGTTATAATTAACAAACCACTTCTTTCCCCATTCAACAACAGGAAAAAAATCAAAAAACACAAAAGCATAAATACCAGAATTTCTTTCTTCTTTTCCACCATATCTCATTCTCTGATGAAGCTTTAATACCAGCTAAACATGTTAGATTGATAAACGTTTCCTATTTGTTTTTCATCTTATCAGTATGTATTTATGTATAGTGCTGCGCAAAAGTAAGTGAACCCCTAAGATAATATTTAAAAATATTGACTCCTTTTTCCAGATAATCAACAATTATTTTTATTTTGAAATATTAAATTTCATGTAGCACAAGGCCAAAAGTGATGGTGGCAAAAGGTTGGTTGTCACTAATATCTAGTTAATCTGGTTCACGACGTATTCCTTCATTATAATTTACTTACACACACCACAAGAACTCATTCATCGCAGTTCAACCCAACGCATACCATAATATTGCATATTCGCAGGTTTTCTACTAAAACACTCATGAAAATATATACAATTGTTTTTGTTTTTAGTTTTTTTTATATATAAAAATATATATATAAAATTATGACAGGAAATTTCAGGGGGGTATGTACCTAATATAAAAAATAAAATACGACAAATCATTCAAAATAGAAATTGAAATATGTTTTAGATAGTAAGTGATCAGCCTCAACCCATCCTCCGTATTTTCGGCCTTGTGCCACAATTGCATTTTATATGCATGAAATCTAGACAATCGTAATCGATTGGGTCAATGGCTTGATCACCAAAATATTTTTTAAATCTCAAATTGCACCAATGAAAAAATTTTGGTAACTCTCTGGTGTTCCGCCATTGGGGTTATCCATTGCAGCTTTCTCGAATTTAACCAGGGCATCACCATTATTGCAAGCAAGTGGATGAAATGCACATTCAGTTAAGCAAAATGCGATTAGCACTGGTTAACTTACGAAGTCCAATTCTTACACTTCTCAGCCACATGCGACCAGGATAATACTGCTGACGTTCACAGACTCGGGGTATGAGACTGACACAGGCACCATATTCCCCTGATATCTAGCTTACTGCTACCATTTTTAGCCAAAAGACATTCCGTTGCAAAGAAGATGCAGAAGCTACACTCAAAGATTCCTTGGCGTTCAAAACTTGAGAGTTTTATCGTAAAGGCATAAATAAACTTGGCGGCAGAAATGTATAGAAGTTCAGGGATACTATTTTGACTGATTTAAACACTGTTTAATTACATTAATTCATGAATAAATGTTGATTCTTAAATCGGACATTATTTTCAAAACAACTTAATAGTTCATAAGCTCTGCCTTGGCGATTAACAAATGATAATTTTTTAAGTCATCATCTTTGAGCATAAAATTAATCAGAACACTATTTACATTACACATTATGATATAGACAAAGTCCGACAATTATTTTAAGACATTTTTATGTTTATACATTCTTTTTTATAGATACAAATATTTAAGTAAATGCTCTGTTTATAATAAACAGTATTAAACAACATTTACCGGCCTGAATGTCCGAGAAATTTTCACAGAAAATATTCGTCCTCCGAGCATATATAAATGTACGTGAAGCGAATCATGGAAGATTGTAGTTTAAAGATAGTAAAATCGACCTTTCTAACCGAACGCTCCTCTGTGGCCCAATCGGTTAAGGAACGTCAGACTATATGATGGTTCCGTATAGGATACAGGTTCGATTCCTGTCGGAGGACGAATATTTTCTATAAACAGAACATTTACTTAAATATTTGTATCTATAAAAAGAAAATATAAACATAAAAATCTCTTAAAAACTATTTACATTGTTCGGACTATTGTCCCCATCTTCGTTGCCATATTTCAGACGTTTCGGCCAATGTACGCTCTGGCCTTCTTCAGGTGATTGGAACTGAACCTTTTATTTTGTCCACCGAGGTAGATTGTTCTTGTTCCACATGCCATACCTCTTCCAGATGTCTCAGTATCAGTTATCTCTCTTTAAGCCAACTTTCCAAGTTTTTGTTCATCTCACCTGTAGCCAGCTTATTGAACTCACAACTCTTTGGGTCACGTCACTGGATTCAACAAATGCTTTTATCCACTGAGCCATGTGTCCTCAAGGTGGATGAAATAAAAGGGGTCAGTCCGAAATTACAATCACCTAAAAAAGGCCGAAGCGTACAACGGCCGAAACATCGTAAATATGGAAACAAAGATGAGGACAACAGTCCGAACAATGTCAATAATTACAATACCTCGTCTCAGAAATATAGACAGATACTGATCAGAATCCATTCTGTAACGTTCAGTTGAAACTTACCTGTAATCTGGGCTTGCCAGATACCATCCACTACTCCCCAGCCACCCATGTAAGCAAACACGATTGTCATTCCAGCTTCATCTGGCCGCCATAATAACGTTAAAGACAGCAGACCACCAGAAACCATGAAACCTGAAATAAAAAGAAAACGTAATTTTGACAATAAGTATTACATTTTGAAATTTCATCTTTTAAAGACATTCAACATAAGACATTTCCAGATTTAAGAGATATTGGACAACTATTTGACCTGGAGGGAGATGAACTTCTCAAGGTTTACTTGGCCAGGACACGCGACGCATGAATGGATACTGTTGTGGAGTAGCTGAACACCCCCACAATATGGACTGGTCTAAGACTATTTAAACAGCACTCTCTCTTGCTGAGGGGAAGGAATTAACGATAAGGATGAGGAGGAACCTTTCTCTTCCTCCCTTATCGAACTCTTCACCTCCGGGCGGAGAGGAACGCAGTCGAGGCTATGCCGAGAGCAGAATCTCATTTTAGGGCGGGAGACAAACCCGACTCCGCGTATAGGGGTCTACTGGCTCGAAACGCCCCACGTTAAAAACTGACCTTGTGTCACATCTTGTCTCGTGGGAGGTTGGTTAATAGAGTTAACGATTAATTGTTTCTTACATTAGTCTATGTTCTCAAACGTGTTCCATATTATTCCCCCGGAGTAAACTACTTATTTTCTATATCTGTGCCAACCTTTCTCATTTACGACACAACAATCCCACGTATGGTACCTTCGAATGACTATGTATTTGCATCTTTAAAGACTGAAAGACTACAAAAGACACAGAGCAATTCCCCGGTATGATCCCCCCCTCCCAAAAAAAGAAAGAAATTCTGGTAGGATAAGTTTTAAGCTGGACATTTCCCGTCGAATGATACACTAGATTCGAACAAAACGGTTGAATTTCATAACAATCAAATCGAGGCATTACTGACGCGGAAGATGGTCAGCGTAATAAAAAACTCACACCAGTATGGAAAACCATTTATATCGGCTTGCGTATATTAGCATTTTTGCTGTTACGTTTCTACATAAGTTATGCTGAAAAAAAATGCTGGACCGTATTTAAATGTTCTGTTTATCAAGTAAAGCGCAGTGGGCGATGAAAAGTGGATACTTTACAACAACGGGTGTATTTTTTTGCCTGAACCTACAGACTCGGGACGCCCCACGTAAAAACTCGACCTTGTGCCACACTCCGTATTGTGAAGAGATCTGTCGTAAATAGCGAGGAATTAACGATTAACTGTTTATAAAATTAGTCTGTATTCTCAACCGTGTAACATAATATTCTCGGGAATAAACTACTTCTTATTTTCTATATGTGCGTCAACCTTTCCTATTTATGACACAACAGATACCTCTCTAACTTTCAAGCCAGAAATGACAAATTAATTGAGACATCTGAAGAGAGTTATTTTGGTGTTCAGTTGCGCAGTGACCCTACGACCACACCTGATCATGGAACTGATGACGACGAGAACGATGAGGATAATGAACAACTATCAATTTATGTGGTTATAAAGAAGGATGCTGAGAATGCCATAAACTGAACGGAACAGGTGAGCAAGAGGGGAGTTTTAAGGAAAACGGGATGTTTTTAAGAAAAAAAAATGAAAATTACTCTTTTAATTAGGAATAGACAGAGGCAGTTGTGACACATAATAAAGAAAGACAGCTTGGAGAATTTGACACTTACAAGACTTATTGAAGGCAAGAGAGACAGTTGAAAACAGTGTGTAACATACCTTACGAGCTTGTTTAAATTGATGTTTGAACAGTGGTAGGGATACAAAGAGACAGGATAGAAAGTTGTGGAGAGCCGTGATCACCCACGCTCTGAAAGGACGCGGCACACAAAAGAAATCAGTTATAGGTAGTGACGAATAAAAATAATGTTTACATTATTTAATATCCTCATCTTTGTTATTATTATCTCCAATGTTTCGACCGTTGTACACTCCAGCCGTCTTTTTAATACTGCTCAGTGTATGCTAATGCTATTTCCACTGTAGCCTTGGGTGCAAGAGAAGTCCCGGGTTCAATTCTGGAACGAGTCCCATTTTAGAATAATTAAAGATAAAAATAATGAAAAAGAACTGGAGGGAGCTTTGTGACCTTCTCTATCTTATCACCATTTGCTTTTTTTTTTTACCTATATTTATATACGTTACCAATTAAACTATGCACAACTCACTAATTAAAGGGTGAAAAATTTTCGCGGATTTTGACGTTTTTCTTTTTTTTTTCTCTTTGATCTCAACCTGATCCCACAGAGGGCGTTGATCTCCCTTTTCTCTCCATATGTTGTCAGCCACGGCTGATTTTTCCACTTCGCCCCGTGTTAACAGCTTTCTGGTGTTCTTGAAGCCTTACCTTGAGGGGGCGGCCTGTCTCTCCTTTATATTTCATTCACGGGATGGCGTACACACAGTCTTTAGTCATGTTCTCCTCTATGGGGGGTCTTACTTGGGAGATATCTGCGAAGTGTCGTCCAGCTTTTGAAGTTTGTCCTGATGTTATATGGACCGCAGATCCTTTGTATTTTCTCTGATAACCCCTTCCCATAAGGCAGGCAGACTGTTTTCAGAGTGTTGTTGTCCTCTTTTTGTACTCGACTATCTCAGTTTATTGGGACTGCTGTCATGTACCCAGCGTAGTTGTTACGTTGTAGGGTACTACTTATACTGAACAATTCTTTATTTAATGTCTCTGGGTCGCCACTTATGACTTTTGCTCGGTGTTGTAAGCAGCGGATGATCCCATTCTTTACGCTGTATGGATGGTGGGAGTTGAAATTGAGGTACTGTCCAGTGAATGTCAGTTTACGCTATACGGATGTCTTGAACCCATGCTCTGTTCGAGATATTAGAACATCCAGGAATGGGAGTGTGTTGTTACTCTCTTTCTCCATCGTGAACTGTATCGAAGATCTGTATCGAGTTCACATGGTCCAGTAGAACCTGAACATCTTCCTGATGTGGCCAGATAGATTCCAATGCCATTTCCTCAAAGTATTCCATGGAGATATTCGCCATTGCTGGTGAATAATGGCGAGCAATTTGTCTTGTTCATGCTAAGTCTAAAAAAACCCAAAACAAACAAACACTGTATAAAATTCTTTACTTTTCATCCATAATGAAACAAGAAAAATATCAAGTTGATGTTAAAAATTGCCGCAAAACATTGTTGATTTATTTAAGATGGAATCATCTATTATGATGAGTCTCTAATTTATATTTAGATACATCATACTTATTTTCAATTTTTCTAGTTGAATTGCTCATCTATGCGACATATGATCCATTATTGTATATAATTATGTTACGCTAAAATTTGTATTTTATATGAATACTACCTTATGAAAATTGACATGTAGTAGAGTCCTAGGTGGATCCACGAAACCTTCCCTCGGCCCTGGGTACTCCTACCGAAAGAATTTAATACTTACATACACAGAAGCATATGCAAGGCAATTCTTACTTTTTATGTGCCATGTCCTTTCAGGACGTAGGCGATCATGGCTCTCCACCTCCCTCTATTTCTTGTAGCTATCAACAAGTTCCTTCTCCCTGCTTCCTCACTCAGATCACGTTCTGTCATCCACTTGCACACATATTGACATGGTATGAATGCCTCGAGTCTCTTCTTCATCTTTGAGGAAATCGTCCAAGATTCGCTGCCGTAAAGAAGGACAGATGTCACGTAACAGCTCAGTATTCTTTTCTTTGTTACCAAAGAAATCCTCCTGTCTCTCAATAGTCTGCCCAGCTTTTGGTACGTGTCCTCGGCCATCCCAATAAGTCTACGGACATCAGTGTCGCACTTACCGTCCACCGTCAAGACGCTTCCCAGATATTTAAACTTCTGCGTCTGCTTGATTCTAATATTCCCGAAAACAGTTGTTGGCTTTTTATAGCGCAAGGATGTTCTTTTTGTTAGTTTAAAAAGAGAACAAAAGTTTGAAACTATGTGGGTAAGTCACAAATTATCCACACTTTCGTCATAGCATATCTGCTTTCTACTCATGCGTGCTTATAGTTGGTGCTATTGTAGTCACTTTGGTCGAAGTTTGAGTTTGATCGCGCCAGTTCTTATTGCTGCTGTTACAGTGTAAACATGGCCACTTTGCTAGCAGTGTGCAACGGTTCTTTTCTATTTTTCTATATATTTGAACACACACACACACATACACACACACACACACACACATATATATATATTACATAACGATATATAAATTTCTATAATTTTCTATATCAATTTTTTTATTTAGAAAAATATGACAAACAGGAATGGTTTTTTGCGATTTTTTTTCATCGTAACAGATCATTCAGTTTGTCATATGTTTCTCTCTCTCTCTATATATATATATATGTGTGTGTGTGTGTGTGTAAAATAGGATAGTCGTTAATATTCTGTATTTGTAAGACGTTTTCCATTTTTATATATATATATATATATATATATATATATGGTGCGATGAATAAATTGGTCGCCATTTTATATTATTAATTACTAGCAATCGCGTAGTTTGTTTTTGATTTTGCCGACTGTAGAGTAGGGCCGGTTTGGCAGTGAATGCTGTACTACTGGGTATTCGCTCAGGAAGAGTGTTTAGGTGTCAATATGAGGACAGTGCAGAAGATTCAGAAAGAGTTGGATGAGCCTAATGGTGATTACGAAGGTATGGCAGTTCGGAGAAATCAATCTGATCGTTCTGGTAAGAAAAGAACTTCCGTGTTTGTTGGTGAGGGACTCAGACTCAACACGGAGGCCTACATTAAGTGCCTTGAGGAGGTAATGCTGCCCTAGGTCAAGATGGTGGCTGCTGCAGGACCCTATGTCTGGCAACAGGATTCTACCCCATGCCACACAGACAGGAGAACACAGCTATAGCTGCCAGGCAATTTCTGTGACCCCATCACTCCTTATATCTGGCCACCTAACTCCCCAGTCTGCGACTCCCTAGATTTTTATGTGTGGGTCGCAGCTAAACGAGAGATCAACATATTCCTTGTAACATAGAAGGCAAGGATTATGACAGCATTCATCAAATTAAACAAGGAGACCGTCCAGAAGAGTTGCACGAGATTCCGAAGTCT